GAGACCTCCAACACTGGCATGGCGGTTCGACCATAGAAAAGGACACAAAATTCGACAGATATTGGGCCATAATTCACGCTTTTCTCAGCGATTGCATGGAAACGAACGTCATAATCTGCCAATCTGTTCCTCCCAGGTTACTACCGTAATTCTTGGGTAGTAATCGCATGTGGTGCACTGAAATTATCGAATATTTTTTTTACAAATATCTAAGATTGTCGCATTCTTCCATAGGTTTATAGCGCTAGCGTTGGTCAGTACGTCCACATACTTTCGGCACATTTAAAAACAGCTGCCATTCTACCTCTGTATGGTACAGCTTCAACGACGTGCCGTCAAAATGTTGAATTGCGGGTCACCAGCAATGGCTGGAACCGGGCTAGCGCCCCTCAGTGCCTGACTGAGTACTGAAGAGGTTATGCACGCGCAGATAACTTATACTTTATGCCAGAATGCTATTTAAAAAATATTTGTCGGCGAAAAAGTTCTCATACTCAATTGCATTCCCGTATATGAGCATTTTATTTGCTTTTCTTTATGCGAACGCAGAAAAGTTATTTTAAAAGACAAACTGGGAAGGAAAATAAGGCACCGCCCGGATTCGAACCGGGGATCTCCTGTTTACTAGACAGGCGCTTTAACCGACTAAGCCACGGCGCCGGCTGACATTGCGGCGAATTCGTCAAAATATATACCTATGTAACTAGAACATGCAGCCGTGTTAATTTTGCTGTCAGCAGGTTTAGATTTGTTTGACTGTTGTTCCGCTATTGTAAAAGAGATCTTTTAGTAGTTCATGTTGAGTTGGTAAAAAAGTTGTTTATTGTTTTTGTTATTATTATTTTCAACGTTATAATGTAAATTTTTATTTTTCCTTTTGTGGGGGGGCCGCAAAGTTGTGAAAGAGACAAACATGGCCGCGTCCATACTGCGTAGTATTAATACACGTCATGCACGTACATGTACATGTACATAATTAATGTGCATGTAGGAGGACTGAAGCTGTAAGTTAACTGTGTCGGGTTTCCTTTCTCACTGATGTTGGTAAATGGGGAAAAATGTTGCATCCTGACTCCGCTTCAGCAGTTGTGTGCAAAGTCTATGGGGAATGAAGGAAATTTTCTATTTCCCAACAACCATTACTAAAGTAATGGCATTAGTGCCACTGGTACATGTATGACTGGATGACAACATCGTCATCGGTAACAATGGTCGGCTGATGGTAGAAGTAAATCATGTTTCTCAATCTCAGTTCAGAATTCGTGTCTTTCCAGCATTTCTATAATGAGTGACTTTTATTGAGATGATGTGTGATGAGAAAAGTGGAGTCAGGATGCAACATTTATTTTTTAACATTTAGTTTGATGCTGTTATTGTCAAGTAAGTTGGAAAAGTATTCCATATCCAACAACCACAATTTTGAGACATCATCTCACAAATAGGGTCATGCTATTTAGCGTCAACAAGTGTCAACAAAGCGTCAACTAACTACTCAAGCATTTTTATACAAATATTTTCTAGGGCCTATTTACAATATAACTCTATTAGTAAGGTTCCTACGTATCATAATCAACGTATCATATTATTGAAAATAATATTTGAAGGTGGAAATCTGAGCAACAAATTCAGGCCTGCTTGTGCCGCCATCTTGTTTTTGCATCACGAAAAAATTTTGTTTTTTCTGCATTAATCTGGAAGCGCATTCGGTGTTTCTTTTTATACAAAGTGGCAGGTCTAAGAGTCTCTAAATTCAGATAAAACTAGTTTTAAATCCTTAGAGGGTATTTTCTAGTTGTTGATGTTAGTTATAAGTGTTGACGCTTGTTGATGCTAAATAGCATGACTGCACAAATAGGCTTACCTGATCATGCATGTTATTTGTAACTTATCAATGTTTAATAACCCCCTAAGTCCAAATTGCTGGGCACCATCCTCAATCCTTTAAAATCATCAAATTGCTATTCTTCAAAAAATGCATTCATCTTCAATCAAAAAATGCATTCATCTTCGATCCTCCAAAATCATCAAACTTTTTGAACTTTGCTCAAAATGAGTGGTGCTCACATCCTCAATCCTTCAAAATCATTAAATTTTGGTCTAAACACATTGCAGCGAGGGGATAGCCTTGACTAACCAGTAACAGCTAAAACAATGGGAGTCTTGTCCTTGAACCAGTGGTACACAGTAATGAATACGTGTACACAGTATACATACATGTATTACAGGCTGACTGTATACTGTTCATGCATTTACACAGTAATGCGAAATACACAGAACACTAGTAACTCCATTCATCATCATTCCTCAAAAATCATCATCAGCTTTAAATTCAATCATTGTGATTTTTGAGAATTGAGGGAGGCTGGGGTTAAGTTATTATTGTTACTTAGCGCTAGTACATACATGTACATGTACATGTAGATCCACAATGGCTTAGCCTAGGCCTTTGGCCATGTACTTATGTAGGTGGTGTACACCATTGGTTTTTGTCTTAATTTCACAAGATTGGCTGATCACAGTGTAGTACTATTCACTGCAACTGCACCTGACTCGGACCGGCCAGCCAACCCAGGCAAGCTCGTTGGTCGAGTGGTTAAGACGTTTGCACTAGTAAGCAGGAGGTTGTGGGTTAGAGTCCCACCCGAGTAAGCTTTCGCAAGCTCTCGGACAAGCACAGAGCATGCAGTGTTTATCAGTATATACATGTACGTTGGGTAAGGGCAAAACCTGTCATATAAATTAACTTCTCCCCAATGCAAAAAAAAAAACATCTTGAAAATACATGTACAAATAAGAAAATTGAAATAAACATGAAATTAACTAGTATTACGATGGTCGCCCAATTTTTGTTGTCTCGAAAACTACAGCATTCTGGGTGGAAATGGGTCAGAGTATATGTACATGCACATGTACAGTTGCTAGCGGACGCTGGTGCTCAAGTCACAGTGTACTCTCTCGTTGTCAACTTGACCATAGAGTCCCCTAACATGGCGCATCATTATGCCAAAATTTTGTGTTGAATAACTTCAAAATTTCCTAACATGGCACACATTAAAAAATTCAGAAAATTTCACATTGGCACGTGAGAAGTTCTTCAAAGTCAATAAATTCTAGAAAAATTATTATTTTCACTCACATATACCCAACTCCAAGTATTAAGGAAATTATTCTGTTATTTTTGGGCACATTTTAAGAGTTACATTTAACTTTGCGTGACAATAGAATTGGAAAATGCAGCCAAAATGATATTACATTGGGACTTGGAGACAGAAATGTTAGATTTATTCACAAGAATATTGGAGCTTGATCAAGTTTTATTTATTATGAAAATGATTGAGGTAAATACATGTACATGTATAATGCTCTTATTACAGGTAAAAAAAAAAGTGGGTCATGTTAGGAACCACGCCTTGTTAGGGTACATGTACACCAGCAACGATGATGTCATCAATATGGACCAATCAGAACAAAGCTACCGGCAGAATATCATTCTGGAATTCTGTCAGATTGCAGCAAAAAATAGACCAGTGCCTTTCCAAAAATTTGTCATTAGCTGCATTGTTGGGAATGGCCTTCTTTCATTGTTTTTTTTTCAAAACAACACCTTGCAAGAAAGAATAATTTCACAGACATGACAGATATGACAGAGAGTTCAGTCCACTAACCTTTTTAAACCAAGTTGGCCTATCCTTTTCAACAGTATTTTTATCAGTTACTTTTGGAATAATGTTTATGATGGGCTGTACCTCTAACATATGATACGGGGTATTCAACAGCAAATACTGGTAAAACATTCGCCAACACGACATTTTACCCTAGTGATATTAACATAAAGCTAGACACTTAAAATTGCCATTTTCAGTGAACGATAATGGCCTCATTCCTGCAACTCCAAAATCAGTAACGATGTTGCCTCAGCTTAGGGGTAGTGCAGACCATACGGTTATGCTAAAGAGGTTATAACAATAATGTTATTTAGGGCCCAAAGGACCCTATAGTGATAATGGAGGCCATGATTAAATTTACATAGGCAGTAGATATTGTTCACAATCCTCATACAGTATTGACTTGGCACAATTGTAGAATTCCCTGTCATTCACATATCCCACTTCAGTCCTCGTAGCCGTTTACTGTGTTGCATGTACATCTAGTCCTGGTCAGCTATCTACCCACAGTACATATATGTCATTCTCAATGCATTCTGACTTCATAGCTGCAGTCAGCCACATGGTAATCTATTTGGACTTAGAATTTTTTGTCAAGAACTCATTATTTATGGTGTATTCCTTCATTTTCAAAAGTGCCTGACTTTGCCATGTCCATGGCAACGTTACATAACCTTGTAGCCATGTAGCCACTTACATGTACTGACCAACTGTCATGTACTGGAACAACACCAAATCATCCTACAAAAGAAAATTTGCAAGAGCAAAATATGCAACATTTTTGTAAATCTTGGAGCTGAAGTACAGTGGTTGTTAAAGTAAGATTTCTTCCTGGGAATGACATCACATTTTTCCAGATACTGGTAACCTGGTAACAGTGAACGTTCCCTTTAATTGATGGTTAACAACAATCATGCATGCTGTTCTGTACAACGTAATACAGATGAATGGATGCGCAGACTACAATGGAAGAGTCCATCAGCAAAGTGCTGGCTAAAATTCAGTCTGATGAGACAGCAGCTGATCTACAGTGGAGTCTCTTCCAGTCAGCGCTAAACAGCTATCGTCGGGACAGTGTACTAAGGCCATTTCCACCAACATTACCAGCAAGCACTCCTAACAACCAAGAAAAGGATTACACTGCATTGGTAAGAACAGCTTTATCTCAGTTTCGTGGCCAAATATGATCGGATTGTCCAGCATGAAACTGTTACCGTTTGTTTTCTTGCACAATTATCTTGGTATTTTCCCAGCAAAAAATCTAGACATACATGTACATAAAAGTTTTAGTAGGTCAAAGCCATCAAGTTAATAACTGACCGGTATTCCTTCATTGTCGTTTCTTGGAACCACATCAAAACTTTTTTTCTTCCCAGTGCAAAAACTAATCATTTACAGGTGTACTTGATATCATGTTGTGCATGTCCACGATAACAGACACATTGGCACATAACCAAAATCTTCTCTTTCTTTAACAGTGTTGGAAGTCAAGAAATGAACTTTTTTACTGATAAACACACGTATAATAGTGGAGATATAGTTTACACAGTATAATAGGACTTGACTGTTCTTTGTCAAAATAATCAGGATCTTGATGAAAATCTCCAGCTTGTATTGAGGGTTCTGGTGGGACATGCACATAACTGTGTCAACTCACGTTTTTCAGGTTGTCTAAAATACCACTCTCATGGAGAAAAGCACTTCATCTGTTAAAACATGGGTACTACAAGTATAACATTTGAGAGGTGTGTCAAAATCTAGGGCTTTATATTTCTGTAAGCTATCTTAAACAGGAATTTAAGGAGAGCTAATTAAGAAATAACGTACATGTATGTCACAGTGTCTGTCCACAAAGTGACAAACATGAAACAGGCAGATTTTGCCATTCCTTGAGAAGATAACCTGAACAAAATTATCTTCCTGAGAAAAGTTTTTACTATAATAGTTTAATATTTGTGGTTATTTTTATATCAGATGACAAAACTAAGATTTGATTTAGGAGAAAAACTTTGCAAATGTCTGTCCACTATTTTGTAACGTTTGTCACAACCATTTTTTCCCTCTGTAAAATCTTAGGAGACTTATCTTATGAATGCACATACATTTATTACAAAACCAAATTATTATTATTAAATTAAATTTATATAGTGTTCATTTTATAAAAAGTTTTCAGGAGTGCTTAACAATATTAAGAAAAAATACCTATTAGAACAACTATTTACAAAGACCCAAAATAATTAAAAATTTGAAAGTTTAAACCAAACATTGTGGGACTTCCACATGCGGCCAGCACCAACTCTCCCGCCAACGACCCATCGTGCATCCAAGACTCATCCTTGTGCCCGAAAACTGGAAGCACTTTCCAAGAGAACACCCAGATTCTCCCAGACAGGTCCAACAAATTAAAGGCGACAAAATTACAATCAAACTAAATAAGATAATCAAGTAAAATTAAATAAAATAATTAACAGTTCATTAGAAAAAGTTGGTTAATTTTGCTGAAATGAAAGTGAGAAGACTGTCTGTTCCCAGGCTGTGACATGTGACAAACATTACATGTATGTCTGTCCATATGACAAACCTTACTCATTGAGAAAAACTTGCATAGTGTTCACTTGAGCTGAAGTTTTATAGTCTTTTTTTAAAAAATGGTTTTCATAACTGAAAACAAACAAGTTTGATTTGTGAACAATTTTGTTTTCATGTTCCAATTCAAACACCAGAAAAATGTCTGTCCATGTGACAAACATGATGTCTGTCCAGTGACAAAGGTTATATATTTTTCTTGAAATAAATTTCAGCATTATCTACACTGGAATTGTTTTTATGAGATAATGAAAGTTTCTAATAGTAAACTAAAAAGAGTATTTAATACATTGCAGGTGATTTTCAATTGTGTTTTGAATTTAATTTTCACATTTAAGAAACAAAACGTCTGTCCATGTGACAAACGTTATATTTTCAAGAATTAACTTCTATAATTTCTCAAATGCTGCTTAATTTATCTTGACCTTTCTGTGGCAACAATCAGAAACAGTGAAGACATATGTAAGCTAAAAATGATGGCAGGATGTTACAGTTGGAAATTTGTATTGAATGTCACTCAAATGTGTCTGTTAGTGTGGACAGACCCAGATTTTTATTGTAGACGTACATAAACCCAGCAAATACTCTGTTGTTTTAATCACAGAAGTCAGTTGCAGATGAAGTACCCAATTTACGGAATCTGGTTCAAGCACGAGATAAGAGTAAACTCATCTCAGAGCAAGCTTGGAGACTGCTCAGCTGGGTTCTGCTTCAGAATCCTTTAACTGTCCATTGGCATAATAAGTCAAAGGTAACAAACTGGTTTCTTGTGACTTCAAGACAAATGTACATGTACATGTATGTAATACATATTTCATAAACTTTTGTTAGTTACTGTGTACATTTGAACTAGTACTTACACTGATTAGAAATGTTGGATGGTACCTTGCTGCATATGGTATATGCAGGCCATTCATCCCATTTGTGGAGATTGTCTGTGTGCGTGTCTTTGTTTTGTCTTTATTAATTTGGGTTCATTTTATGGAGTTCTGTTGGGAATAAACAGAACTGCACATGGAAATTTGGACTCAAAATGGTTTCCTACTACAGAGTACATTGATCAGCATTGATCATACACCAGCCAAGTGGCTGCAGCGTTCGGACTTGTGCAGCTTCCTCTCTACATTGTTCTATAGCCCTTAAAAAATTCTGTTGGTAAGTTGATATCATTATCTATTGGTTAATCTCCATTCATAAATACTGATTCTAAACAAATAAGGAAATCCTTTTGAACAGTTTCAACAAATACAGGAATTGACAGGAGAATCCAGCTATCAGGTGACTCCTAGTCATGTCTTTGAGGTACAGTATAGCTCAGCGTCTAGCCAGAAGTTTGATGAGTTACGGCAGTCTAGAGATCTCATCTATGCATATCATGGAAGTCGGCTGGATAACTTCTACTCTATTCTGCACAATGGCCTGCATGCTCACATGAATAAGGTGAGGGAAACTTTTTCCTCAGCAGAAGCTGGAGATGGAGAGTGGCAGACACAATTTAAGTCAGACCTGGTCATATTGGTTTGGGAAGATTTTTCAAGATTTATGGAGATACATTTACCTGTACAGCCAAGCCACTGTAAGTTATTTCTTGCCACTATCATTCAAATCCATTAGAGTGATAGATTTACACGATGTATGGTCAGTATAGATGTTGATGATACGTGTATGCCACCTTGATAAATGCTCCTATCTGTTGTTGTTTATAAACCCCATACTCCATACTGAACTTCCCAAAAGAACTTCTTAGGCTGTCTCTGTCCTTTTAAAAGTCAATCATGTGGTACGAAAAAGAGTCTAAGCTGCACAGTTCATTTTTGAGAGGGAATTCAAGCAGTTTGCTGCTTTGTAAAGGTACAGATTTTCCAGGACCATCCATATAGTCAAAAAAATATACTTTGCATGTGAGTTTAGAATAAAGGACACTACAAAATGGGAGGGGTTTGGTTTTCAAGTTTCAATATAAATTGTGTTTTGCCATAGAACTCATTATTTGGTGAGGGAACCTATCTGTCAAGCGACCTGAGTGTATCCATGCCATACAGTCCCATTGGTACAGCATGGGAAGGCAGTAGTCTGGGAACCACTCTTAGCTGTGTAGCAGTGTGTGAACTGATTGATCACCCTGATGTCAAATGCCAGACAAGAGGTATATGTACAGATGATGTTGCTTCCAATTATTGGGTGTACTTGGACACGAGAGATTCATTTCTGTAATGCATGCTGCAATTTTTTTACATTTGATAAGTTGACTATCGTGGAAGAGTACTAACCCAGGCTAAGTAGTCCATCACCAACTTAATCAAGTAATTCCTTCATAACAAAGCATACAGCAGTTGTTGAGGTTTATGCGTTCATGGTTTATGTTAACAAGATCAGATGCTGCTGTAAATGTATGATGTAAAAAGTGTAAACGTCACACCCATGGTTTTAAAAGGATTTGGTGTTTCCAGCCAGGGCATTAAATTTGCAACTGTAGCCTGACCTGGAACCTAGGTTTGGAAATCCCAGTGTTCAGTATGCTCATAGTAACTTTAGAAACAGGGGTGTTTTTTGGTAATGCTATTCCCGTGATCAGTGGACAAGTAAGCATTCCTACCAGAAGTACCTCTACATGTTTAGGTTTGTTATGGAAAATGACCTTTTATCACAACAAAGTAATAATGGGAAAACATCAAAGAATAACTTTGTGATTGGTGTACAAGGACACAAGTGTAATGTGCCTACGAGTGATCTTTTGAGTGTAGTTTAATGATCCATTTTCAGACAGAAGCAGTAATGCTAATGATGGGCGTAGGCGGAGTCATGCGCCACAGAGTATGGGAGGGGAAGTACCTGAGAAGTACTACGTGGTCACTAACAACGAAGTGGTGAGACTCAAGTACTTACTGGTCTTTGCTGACAAAACCAAGTCAAAACGGTAAGTCAAGCAGGTCTTTCATAGACATAAAGATAGATAAAAATTTCACATATGGAAGGAATAACTTTTACGTCAGTCTTCATTCTCAGCAAAGATCTCACAGCAATTGCAAAGCAGTGCGAGGCACATGCAGATAACTCTCCAAATTACCATTTGCAAACCAAATAGTGTGGCCATTTGCATGTCTCTGAATATATCAGTGAACAAAATGTATTTAGGTACAGTGACCATTTAGACCCTGTATGAAAAGGGCCCAGTCCTACCCCGTCCGTCCAATATAAAGCCAGTCCGATACTCAGCCCACCCCAGTCCGGTTTAGAGGCCTCTCTGACCTCTAGCTTTGAAGTCAGTCAGGCGCATCAATTTATTGCCCCTTGAATCAAACCTAGAGCTGAACAATAGATGGCTTACTGGATTAAAGACTTCTGGTTTGCTAGGGAGGGAGCTTTTATTATTCTCTTGAAAGGAAGCCTTGGCATGAAGTGAAGGTTCTATTGTAAACCAAACTAGGAGCGCAGGTTTTGATCTGTGCTGTTTTGTTTTGTGTTGAGGAGTGTAACACCACTAGTGGGTTTCG